GAGGTGGGGAAAGTGCCCATCAGGCTGGAGTAACCCTTCTGGGTGGTGACGAGTGTTTTTCCAGCAAGTTTTTTCAGCAGCCTACGACCCAAAAATCCATCCTTACAATTTTTAATTCACCGTCTATTCGCCCCAAAACTATTGATAGATGACGTCCGGACAAAGTGTTTAAATGACGAGACAAGGCTGTAGTGCATCCGTTTTTTCATCATTCGAGTCAGCGTCATAGTGCCACAAGCACTATGGTGACTGAAGCGCCCGCTGCAGCCTCAGTCGCCCACGCGCTGCAGCACGGCCACATGTTCAAGCCGGTCCAGAACAGGGCAGACGCTCTCTCAAACACTTGTCAAGACGATGAAGAATTCATTTGGAGTCTATTTTGATTCCACCAAGCCTGCATGAAAACCTTCGAAATGAACTGACAAAATTTGTTGTCCATACCTTAGCGCATGGATCTAGGGCGAGCAAATCAGGGCGGTGTGCTTCTCATACGCCAGATACAGTTTCTGATATGTTCATCACCCAAGCCATACTTGTGATCGTTTTTTACAGCTTAAGTCCATATAACGTGGCAAAGCTTAAGTGTATCGAGCACAATGAACGTCGCATGTTACGCGCTAGTTATGATATATATATATATATATATATATATATATATATATATATAGCACAATGAACGTCGCATGTTACGCGCTAGTTATGATATATATATATATATATATATATATATATATATAGCAACATATCCAGCAACGTTCGGTAAACGTGAGGCGGCTGCGTGCTGGCAGCGTGGCTTGAGATGACTGCTCGTCCTATCGCCCCTTTAATAGCGCACTGCTGACTGTTATTGCCCTTTGGTGTTGTGTGTTATGTGTGTTCGACGCAGAGTTGGATCGGATTTATGGCAGTAATGCTGTAAGGATGGGTCATATGGCTAAGGCTAGAGGCCTACACGGCTGAGCTTTGTTGTGCCCAATCCACCCGCTACCCATGGGGTTGTGCCCATATCCATCCGCTACCCATGGGATTATATCCATATCCACCCGCTACCCATGGGGCTGTGCCCATATCCACCCGTTACGCACTCGTTATGATTTGTACCCACTCTTTATCTATCTCTGCGTTTTTCAGCACTTTGGCTCTGAATTATTAGTTCATAATGATACTTAAATGCTAAATCATTCTCAGCGCTTTAGTATAAGTGTGTTTCTGGATGGCTTACGCTCAAATCTCCTCTTTTGGGCTGAAATTTGCAAAAGGAAGGTGAATAGAGCTAATTATGACTAAAATAAGCTCAAGAAGTAAAGTCATATAGCATGTCCTGAAGCATCCACTCGAGGGGCGAATAGCCGGGGGGTTAACGCCTTCGGTTCCCGCTTGGTGTCCGGGTTCGAATCCCGGTCGCACCATGCACTTGGGTTCTAATGTGGATTCTGTAGGCGGTGGTGCTCTGCAAAAGGGCACGCGACGACGTGCATCGCGCTTCTTTTGTTAAGAAGCATCCACCCGGCATTTCGTAAACGACCCATAGCCGTAATTTTCTTAAATCTGGACCCCATTCAACCGTTACCCATTTCACGTGGGTACGCACGGGCTTACCCAACCGTTGAAGCCCTCTAGCTGTGATCACAGAGGAGAGTAGGAAAGGTGCTCTCTTCGTGGCATTGTCCTGGACGACTCGCATCTTGCCAGCTCGGCGATTGCTAAATTCACGGTGAATGTGTTTCGTTGGCCTGCTGGCTGCTGAAAGAAGGGACATGTGGGCTCTAAATTGTGCTTTAATGATCATCGGACGGCCGCTTTGATCCAGCGCGACATTAACGGCACTTCGCATCGGAGGGTGGGCCTAACCCAGAACCGTCCAGCTGACGGGCTGCGTTACGCCACCCCCCGCCGGCTGCGCCTGTGAGATGCGCGTGCGCGGCGCAGAGACCCGTGCCTGTGCCGTGGGAGCGACGCCGGCGGCTCCCTCGCCCCGCAGCTGCCGCCGGCCAGCAGTGCGTGTCGCCACCCTAGCCGGCCATCTGACGGCGGGCGGTGCGCCACCTGGCCGACGCGCACCTTTCGCCGCGCGTGGGGCTGGCGGTCCCGGCAGCCGGCCGGCGGCACGGCGACTGTCGCTGACGCGTCGGCCTGCTGTCGCTGCCGCCGCTGCACTGGGCCGGCCTCGGCAGCGGCCTTGTGCTCGTCTTTTCGGCAGATGGTCGCAGCTGATGTCTGCTATTATGTAACTGTGTTATTGTTGCATGCGGTGCTTGTGTTTGGCAGCGTGAAAGGCTCGCCCGCAAAGCAGGTCATCTTAGAATCTGTTGGCGCAATTTAACTCTCTCCAGACAAGGTGCTGGTGCGCTGCATCCGTCCGGTTTTTTGAATGTCCGAAGTGAGCCATTCGGCAGATCTTTATGCAACTTTCGCTGGCTGGGTTTGAAAATCTTTGACCCTGATCGGAGGGCTTGAATCTGTACCATATCAGATCATTGCGCGGTCAGCTAACTCCCAGAGGTCTGCACGCCAGAAATCTCCGAGAAATTAGCGCTTTGCGCCGCACTTTTGGCAATTTCGTATGCAATGGCGTAGCCAGGATTTCGCACGGGAGGGTGCCGAAAAACAGGGGACATTTTCATTTGAAGGCGGCTACTTCGTTGCTATATGGGGCTTTTGGATTCAGGTGGACTGTAAGGGCTCATGATCCCATTTGATGTCCCCAAGGGCCCGTTTTTTATATTTCAGAAGCCTTACAAGCGTCTCGAACTGTCCAAAAGTCCTGGGGCCTTGGATAATAGGGGACCCCGTCACCTCCCCGGGGGACGGGTTTGGGACACGGTCACAAAAGCCCATTCCTCTGCTAGACCACTGTCTAATCTGCACGAGATGACAATGTCTAGGTTTCGAAGATGTGAGACGGTAACATTATCAGCGTAGTCAATGCAGTGGTTTTTGAAAGGATCTTTCAATGTCTAGGTCATGTGATATGGAATGCTAATGTTTATATAAAAATACCCCACGAGGTCAATGCCACTCCATCATGAACTGAACTGACTAACACGTGGCAATGGTGACGTGAAAGTTATGGGACGCGAAAGGTCGAGACAGGGATTACTCGTCTTCTAAGTGTTTTAATTACGGGTCACCAATATCATCATGCTAAACGCAAGAACTACGTTTAGCAATGACTAAGCTCAAAACTCTGGATGTCTTAACTCGTGTCATGACACACACGTGAAATTTTTATGAAAATTTTCTACTAAAAGCTAGTGATGCTGGTTTTAAGTCAACGAGGTCGGTGGAGTCAATGCTGCTGCATGGCCTGAGCGGCTTTACTGGCCGTCTTATGATAAGCGCCGGAGCCAGGGCTGTGCATGACGCATCTCGCGCGCCGGAGATGGAGCTCAATAAGTGCTGGAGATGGGGCTCCATAAATGCCGGAGATGGGGCTCCATAGGTGCCGGAGATGGGACTCCATAAGTGCCGGGGGTGCGTTCCATGAGTGCCAGAGATGGGCTCCATAAGTGCCAGAGATTGGGTTCCATAAGTGCCGGAGGTGGGGTTCCATGAGTGCCAAAGATGGGCCCCATAGGTGCCGGAGATGGGACTCCATAAGTTCCGGAGATGGGACTCCATAAGTGTCGGAGGCGGGGTTCCATCAGTGCCAGAGATGGGGCTCCATAGGTGCCGGAGATAGGGCTCCGTCAGTGCCGGAGATAATGCTACATAAGGGCACTTGCAATGAAGTCAGATTGCCGGACCGCTACAAAGCATACATTCAGAAGCAGCGGAAACCCTTAAGTTGGTAGTCAATAGGGATTGTTTTGTTTTCTTTCCAGCCAACGCAACTGGGGTCGATGCTAAACTTTTCGGACCTAGTCTCTCTGATCTCATCGGTTCCCGTGCCTCCCCATACACAACTTTTTGCACATATGCGCAAACGTTTGAACAAATAACACGCCTTTTGCCAACAATCGTTTGAAAACCGAGTGCTGTCCCTTCACGCCGACGCATTCTTTGCGCGCTTTCCAAGTTCCAAACTGTAACCATCCCAGTCTGCTTTCGGCTAGTAAATGGTCAGGCACACATAAGGCACTCCAACGGAAAATTAGGCGCAGCTGTCCGTGAAGTGCACCGAATGAGAGACACACCCACCTTTAGTGCATTCACATCGGCTGTTGTGAGCATTGCTACCACTACCTTCCTTCGCCGCTACCACTGCCTTCCAGTGACGAGCAACGTGGATGGAAGTTCGAGCAAAGATGCCAGGGAGATACTGAAGATAACTAAAAATCTCAGCGCACTTAAAGTGACACACAGAGCATGGAAGGCTTGAGGCTGCTCTCGCTGTTTATGCTTGCATCATTATGGGCGTGTACGCCACGGAGCTGTGGTTTTTCCGGCCGCGTTTTTTTCCGCTAGACTGTCTGCTCGCTGAGGGTCGGCCAAAGGACCTTCGCTTTCTGGCCGCCGGTATTTTCTGCTCTGCCCATATTTCCCCATGTTTCTACGAGACGGCGTCGTCTTGTCTCCACATGTTTCAATATCTTTAATAGTCTCTGAGTCTCTCAATTTCGTTGTATTCTTGGCTAACTGCCTCGTGGTCTACCTGTTCTGCGGTATAATTCGTGCGCTGCTCCTTATTAACACCGCAGCTTGCTTTCTCCTAAAGGGTTGGGACTACGGCTAAGATGTCGCTGAATTATTACAATGTGGAGCAAAAACTGCTGTGATGAGGAAGGATGCACACATTAATTTGATTGTGCGGGATTGTCTCATAGGAAGTATACTCAATATAATTTTTCGGTGGAACTGTTCCCTTAAATCGTTTCGACCTAGTGTGGTGACGTGGCTCTGTGACGCTGAGAAGCCGCGACGCGGCGACATCTCTGACCAGCGACTGCGTCATTTGCGCGCCGACAGGAGGGTTCACCGTGTTTGCCTTCACGGACGAGGCCTGGGCCATGCTGCCATACAACCTGCGCGCTCAGCTGACGGCCGACCCGGAGCGGCTGCGCCGGCTGCTGCTGCACCACATCACGCCCGTGGCGCTCAAGCTGGCCAGCTTCAACGACAACATGGTGGTGAAGAGCGCCAGTCCCAGCGGCGCCACGCTGCGCATCAACATCTACCAGATGAGCCGCTACAGCAAGGTGAGCCCGGCCAAGCGCCGAGGCCGCCGCTGCCGGGCGGTGCGGGCGGCGCGGCTTGCCGAACGCGCCGACCCGAGAGGCGCGTCCGGAAGCAAACTGTCTCACTTCGCGTCCCACAAATGTTGCTGTTCCAGAGGAGTGTAAATATTCTGTGAGACAGCGGTGTGACGTTTCCTGCATGCAGCTTCGAATCCGTTAAACCCTGTTTCCTTTTCGGCAGTGGCGACCGAGATTTGCGCCGGATAGTTCGACACACATACCATCCGCTGTCCAGTCGCGCTCATCGGGCTCATAATGCCCGTTGTAAGCTCTCATTCCTGGCATTCACGTCAGTTCGCATAAGCTCGCAACTGCGCTCGCGGACCACGCACTGCTACGGGGCCTGCTGCCAAACCCCCGTCACCCGCCCGTCGTTACCAGAACACGAACGATATGTGACGGAGTTGGCGTCTCGTTGCAGCGCGTGGTGACCGTGAACGGGGCGCAGGTGCTGCGCAGCGACGCCAGCGCCTCCAGCGGCGTGGTGCACGTAATCGACAGGGCACTGGTGGCCGAAGCCAGCGTGAATGCGCTGGAGTACGTCACGACGCGGGAGTGCGCCGACCTCGACTTCGGCGGTGAGCTGCCGTGGCGACCAACCGGCCGACTGTGGTCGCAACTGATAGGACAACCGCGCGGATAGAATTGCAGACACGGAAACAGTTGTTAGCGTTCGAGTGCAGCACGCGGTGTGAGCTGGTGGCTTTCAGCGCGCTGCGGCGGCTTGTCGGTGCTGACAGTCGCTGTGCGGTCGCTGCAGGCATCGCCAGCATAGTGGCGAGGCTGGGGGTGACTGAGCTGCTGAGCCAGGAGGCGCCGCTGACGCTGTTCCTGCCCATCTCGGCGGCCTTCAGCGACACGGAGAATGTGTCCGAGGACTTCAGCAACAGCTCCATCGTCATGCAGAGTATGTGTGCTGAGCCGCTGTCAGCGGCGGACGGGGTGCGCCGGCCGCGTACTGTGGGCTGCCGTCGCCGCCGCTCCTCGCCTGCTCTTGGTGCCCGGCGGAAGCCGGTGCCCGCAGCATCCCGGGTCGCTGTGCGGCGGCAGGACTCTCACTCGCGACATCGCTGTACACTGTAACCGACGATCAGGCTGTGATTGGGGTCACACTGTGTGACGTGTGTCCGAACCAGTTATATATCCAGTTATACTTATATCCAGACCAGTTATAATCATATCGTTAAACATTGCTTAGATAGCTTGGGATGTCGTATTACTTGCAAAGGTTAGGTGCTACACCTGCACATACCTGTCGACTACATTCATGCAGCGGCGTACGCAGCATACATACGTGCAGATCGGCATACCGCGCCGACGGGCTGCGGCATGCGGTATCCGACAAGGACGGTGACGTGCCTCTGGCGTGCAGCACTAGAGGCCACTGCGGCGGAGGCAGTGGCCGTTACTGGGACGGTCACGGAGGCCGTGACGGCAGGCGGGCCGTAACGACAGACGGGGCGTGACGGCGACGCCAGCTGTCTGTCGGTAGCCGGCGTCGCGATGCCGGCAGCGGCCGCTCCTCGTTGACCGGCGCTGTGCTGCCGCGTTCGCAGACTCTCTGCTGTACCACCTGGTGCCGGGCGCGTTCTACAGCGCCGGCGTGCGCGACGGCCAGTGGCTGGAGACGCTGCTCGACGGGCAGGAGCTGCAGCTGCAGGTCGTCACCGACGGCTACACGCGTGAGTAGACGCCGCCGGGCGAGCGGCGGTCGCCTCTGTCGCTCGCCTGCTGTAGCAGACGCACCGGTGTCGTGTGTGTTAGAGGAGTGGCGCCTGACCGCGGCTCCGTTGGTGACCGCAGCGGAGCCCGCCTGCTGTAGCAGACGCGCCGGTGGCGTGTGTGTTAGAGGAGTGGCCCCTGAACGAGGCTCCGTTGGTGACCGCAGCGGAGCCCGCCTGCTGTAGCAGACGCGCCGGTGGCGTGTGTGTTAGAGGAGTGGCCCCTGAACGAGGCTCCGTTGGTGACCGCAGCGGAGCCCGCCTGCTGTAGCAGAAGCGCCGGTGGCGTGTGTGTTAGAGGAGTGCCCCCTGAACGAGGCTCTGTCGGTGACCGCAGCGGAGCCCGCCTGCTGTAGCAGACGCGCCGGTGTCGTGTGTGTTAGAGGAGTGGCCCCTGACCGCGGCTCTGTCGGTGACCGCAGCGGAGCCCGCCTGCTGTGGCAGACGCGTCGGTGTCGTGTGTGTTAGAGGAGTGGCCCCTGACCGCGGCTCTGTCGGTGACCGCAGCGGAGCCCGCCTGCTGTAGCAGACGCGCCGGTGTCGTGTGTGTTAGAGGAGTGACCCCTGAACGAGGCTCTGTCGGTGATCGCGGCGGAGCCCCGCCTGCCCCGCTCGGCCGCCGCCCGCTGACCGGTGCCCGCCCGCCGCCCGCCGGGCCGGGCCGCCGGCCGTCCAGCGGACGCCGCTGACGCCAGCGCCGTCGTTCCAGGCCGCATCTCCACCGTCAGCAAGCAGGCGCAGGTGATTCGCGCCGACATCCCCGTCGCCAACGGCGTGATCCACATCATCGACTTCGTGCTGCGGCCGGAGCGTAACCTGCAGCGGTGCGACGCGCGCTGAGGGGCGGCGTGCCCGGCCGACCAGCGGGGTCCAGCTGCCGACCCTCCTCCCGGAACACCTCCACAACCTCGCCTACGCGGACGGAGCTGGCACGGACCGGCAAGAGTTCAGGAGAATATGGACGCCTGTTAGGGCTATAGATGTTGTTACTACGTGGGATTATAACCTCGTTTTATCGTTGTTATGTTGCTAAGCGTTGTTGGCTGACAGGATAATGCGGAAGTGTTGTGAGTGATTGTGATCTGTTCTTCGCTCTTCTCGCTGTCTTTTTCATGCAGCCATTCTAAAAATCCTATTTTCTCAAACGCACGGTGAAGGTGTGGGAAGCAGTCCTTTTTAAGAGGCTCGTCCTATTCGAGGATAGACGTTCGGGCCATATTTTGCCCAGTTTTCGTCAAAGCGTGACCATGACCGTACGGCAATTCATGAAAAAACTGCCTTGCAATTTGGATCCTTCCTTCTTATCCATTTTGGAAGTTCCTACCTCCTTGTATTTAGAGGCACTGTGTGTTTTATTAAAATCACCGTCTCATATGAAGCCATGATCCGAGCGTTACTAGCTTGTGCATGGCATTCTGGTCTTCTTTAGGAGCAGGGTGGCGGTCTTACTGAACAACGTGAACACCAAACCACCCACAGGCTTGGTGCGATCCTGACACAATGTCTAGTCACGCTGGGGGTTGAGGGTGCAATTTGACTTACCAGGTATTTTTGACACAGTTTCGGAGCGTGTGAAGGACGGTCGGCGATCCATGTGGCAACTATGTGGCATCTCACCGTATCTGAAAACAGCTAACAGTTTGCTATGTCGGAGTGGAGCAGATCGACCTTTTCACCAATTATCCTTAAGAGTATAAGGCCTTAAGGACCTTAAGGGCCACGAACTGTGCTAGAATTTTAATTTGGCTGAAACGAGAAAAATATACAAATGCAATATCAGCTATCAGCCCCGCGAAATCCCTAATACTTGACTTATCACTGCACCACCTTTCCGATTTTCATACCGATTTTCCCGCATTGTCTTTGCCTGTGATGCCAGTGCACGAAATGCCGCTTTAGTGGAAGTAAGACTGGGGCGAAAATCGCGTTTCCGTGGGCCCGTGTGATGTTCTAATTTCTCCAAAATTATCACTGTGTAACGGAAGATCTCTTGCGAAGGAGGGGTACTGTATGGATAGCGGAAGTACCCCGCAGCTTTCCTCACGTGTAACTCAGCCAATTGTCGTGGTAGACGCGGCTTCTTGAGGCAACGCCTCGGATGTTCCGGCTGGGAATGCCCTCTGGATGACACACATGGTCAATTACAGCTGTCACACGTGCAGTCGCGCCTTAAATGGCTACTTGATACTGTAATTTTAAGTATCGGTTTGCTTGAAATATGTTCAATTATTGAAGCGCACGGCCCGCTGCTCACTTATGCAGGCTTCCAGGCCTATCGTCGCGGTGAAAGACAGGCCCCCTGGCCCGGGGTGGGACGCCCCACCCACTCGGCCTGCCCCCTGTTTCGAAATTATACACCTACAAGCACAACACGGTTTAAACTTGACTTCCGTGCCAATCCCGCTTTATTTAACGCGACCGCAATGCAAATAGAACAAAAAGAAACAATAGGGTCACGAATCCAGCAATCCCTCCGTCAAAAAGTCTTGGTGAAACATGAGCGGTCTACACGCTGGGCTGGTTACGCCACCTTATCTTGATCTAGGGATCTTCATGGCCAGAATTTTCGATACACGATCTTCCCACTCGTAGGCTCTGCTAGCGGCTCATAACCAGACCTACCTGACTGTTCACCGTGTTACAGGACTCCCTTTAATGACCGTAAAAGTTGTTCAGAATACCTTTCACCTGAACATTTTTCGACAGTGGGATAATTATATTATCGCTACCAATCGTGAAAAAGCGCGGCCAGCATCACTTGCTGCGTCTTGCAGCATGTACACGACATCTCTGGAGGTCTGCGTCGATACTGAGCTCTCTCCAGAGCTCTCTCTAGCGGTGCCTATCCCACCCAGGGACCGGCGGCTTTGTCCGCTCCACGTCTGCTCCAATCCAATGGGTCGATGACGTCATTGTTCATGCAGCATTGTCCGCCCCACGTCTGCTCCAATCCAATGGGTCCATGACGTTATTGTTGATCCAGCATTGTCCGCTCCACGTCTGCTCCAATCCAATGGATTCGTCACGTCATCGTTGATGCAGCATTGTCCGCTCCACGCCCACTCCTATCCAATGGGTCCATGACGTCATTGTTGATGCAGTATTGGAAAATAGGCAACGGCAACGGCGTCTATACTTTGCACCTACCTCAATCCAGCTATCTGCGCGATCCAGGGTGAGTGCTGACTTATTAAAAAGCTTATTTAGCCGGTAGCTATGGGCTACCAACGAATGGGGCGGCACCAGTGCCGGGCTTTGAGGTAATGATGGCTGTCACGCCCAGCGCATACTGTTGGTCGTATGGGCTCTTTACTCACACATGTGCAAACGACAGCGATCAGAGCAGTCGGACGATATATCAAATACATGGATGATAATCACGGGCGTGTTTTATTTACCCCAGAGCGTACGGCGTGCCACCACTGCGGTGGGAATGCCGCTTGTCAAACTCAGCTTCTGTAAAGACATCGGCAGTTGGCCTCTAACCTGTTTTCGCCAGCTAATCGTTCCGTCATGAGGTTCGCCATTAATGGCCTGAGCGCTCGATGCCTTTTTGTCTTGGTCAGATGGAATTAATCCCACGCGACAAAATGTGCACTAAAAGAACTTATACTCGTCATCATGCCTGCTGTCAAAACCTGTGTAGTCTACCTAGACGCGATATTGCTTCTAATGTCAATATTTGCTAGCTACATTTGTGCTCTACCATACTGGCTCACTTAAAAATTGTACCATTCAGCGCTACTCGTAGGTTTGACCTCACTTAAAACAAGAGGAAGCGAACACATGCAATCACTTCGACGGTCGAAATCAGACTGGAAGTTCCCGCTCCGTGGTTTCCACACATAATTACTGCTGCAAGTAATGCGATCGGCAAATCCACGACGGCAATAGTTTCACGTGTTTTTTTTGCTGCTGTGAAAACGCCTTAGTTCAGTGTCGTAGAGTTGCAAAACAAGTTTTGAGGGGCAAGCAAGAAAAACGGCCGTACCAGACCCAAACGCATACAGCACTTTCAAAAAAGCTATCAAGATATCTTCCCCGAATATGACACATTCTGAAAGATGAGGGTCAGGTAGAGTCCGACTGAATATAAAACTATCGCCGTACCCTGACGTTCACCAAAACGCGACATTGTTTGTTCTGCATTGACTTATATATGGCTAAGTGCGCTGCACGAAAATACTCATCTTTCAAAAACATATACCCACCATTGAGATTCTGCTACCTGATCATGCAACCCTAGACGGTCGTTGAAAGCAAAGTAGCCGAAAATTGACCGGGAAGGTGTGACATCACGGGCTGACTAAGTCACAGCGTAGCCAGCGTCAGAGAGTGAGAATAGGCGCTGACGCGCTCCCGGTGTACCTGCAGTGAGGGAATGTTCCGCGACATTTTTTATGTGTTCTGCTATACGTAATAATATAAACGTCATGTCGGGTAACCGAGATCAAGTCAGGTCGAGTTCATAATAGGTCAATGGGATTCGATTTACAAGGATGACAAGCCAAACCATGTAATACATCCAAAATGCAACATCATACAAGTTCCCTTGTAGGTCCCTGTAGCACCCACCCATCCTGGGAGTTTTGTTCCTCTACCGGCGTGTCCGAATTTGGGTTGGGGGCAGAGACTTAACGGAGGGCCGCCGAAACGATGGGTTCCTTTATTTCAGTACAGGCGCGCAACCAGAGACTTGGCGAGGGAGGGGCACAAGGCTCGCAAAGGGCCCCCCGATAGTAAAAACCAAACCATACATCACCGAATATGACCCATTTGTTAATCCGGGCATGCTTTTTCACCCTAAGTTCTATAACTGGAATAGAAGCCAGAAGCTACCGCGATATCGATTCCGCCTGAAATTTGTAGGCAATCAACTGAAGAAAAATTATGTGTCAAACGACTGCATGAAATAAATTACCAGCGTTCTTCTTTGTACAACGGTCCAGTAGACGTTTTCTGAATCCATACAAGTCAGGAGTTTTGTCGGAATCTTTCTCTGGGGTATGGGGAGATGTCAGGCCCATGCGAATTTAGATTGTAGATCGAAATCGGTCAACAATGCGCATTGACTTGGCCAAGCCATGTTTGTCTGGAAATGTTCAGCACTGAATCAAATGTTATTGATGATGCAAATGATGTACGTAGTTTTGAGCATGAACTCTCGCAAACCTTTAAAAACCCGCGACTCCACACGTTGCAGTCTCCGTAGGCAGCGCAGCGTCCGCCCCGTAGCCAACACCAAGCCATGGCCAACGGATGGACGAAACTAGTGACACATTTGACAGAAGTACCCTTGAACGCTATGGACTTTAAAACGTACATATAGAAGGTAGCCCGTCGAAGATTTCACCTGTGCGATTTTTAGATTGATAGATTAAATAGATTGGCCTTTGCAGCACCACTTTGTGTTGCTGCAATCTAGCCGCAGAACTGGAGGAGTGAAGGTAAAATCTCTATTTTTGTGTTGCTGCAGCTGTTGATCTGTCCAGAGGACAGCTTCAAAGATGTTGCAAAGATACGCCGCGTCTAAGGTTTGAACGGTACGAATTTATTTTGTTAAGGCATTCGGAAGTACTACTCCACGACGGTCGCTCTCGCGCGCACGGCACCCGCCGCCTGGTGTTACTTGCAGTGGCCACCGTCAGTCGGTTTTACGGAAACCGCAACCCAGACTTTCGCTGTCCTTGATTCGGAGATTGCAGGCGCGTAGGCTCAAACATTTTGATCATTTGCTTCGCCAGTCCACTCTGCAAAAGAAGAAACGTTCTCAGGCAAACATGGGATGGTCTCATTCGATATCTGAGCTCATTTCGACCCACTCTTTTGAAACACTTGTGAGGCCCATTCCTTGTCTCCGGAAATGAACCCTCCTTGAGAAAAACACTAGGGGGCACATTATTGTTTCCAGTCAAGGGCTGAAGGGCCATTTCGTCCCACTGCGGGGTGTCTTCCGATAGCCATCCTGGCGACACGGGGAGGGATCCCTGGCCGATCCGGAGGCCCCAAGAGGGATGCATCATATCACATTGGTCCCCTCCCTGACGCGGGAGGCGTTCTGACCCGCGCAGACTGCAGATAACCCCAAATTAATGCAGGAACCCCCACTGACGTAATAACATTCCTAATCGCCACAGGTGATCAAATAATTGACACATAGACCCTTGCTCGGCTTAACGGGCTCATGCCGGAGTTGGGTTGGAGGGTCCACCTTTCGGTACCGGGGGCCCTTCCTAGCACAGGACACTTCCGTCGCCTAAACGTTAACAATCGTCATGAGCTGTCATGTTTTTTTCCATTGTCAGAGGGCCCCGACCAACGCAGAGGTCGCTGTCATTCGCGGTCCCGGCACCGTCCCTGTTCAGCACAACTTTTTCTGACAGACTCGAGGCCCGTTATTGACGCATAATACCTTATCCGGCACTATGAACCCCTGAATGGAACAGGAGCTCGGCATTGTTGTAAGGACCTCGATCAATGTAAATCGCGAGCCTGGCATTGTCCCTGCTTGGGAATTGGGCCGCCAGAGCTCAGATCGACACGGAGCCGACTGCTCGGTGTTGGTGACCTCTGACCGAAACAAAAGAATGCTCGTTTTCAGGGGTCCCCAGTCTGGGCAAGAGGCTCTCTAACTGGTCTCTGAGATTACGGCCCTACGGGCGGGTACATGAGATGTTTGGACCATTATGTGGCGCGATACATTAGTGGTTACGAAAATTACGCGTTGCGATAATCCCCCGACTAAATCCACTCATTGTGAGTCGGGTAAGAAAGTCAGACCGAGGTCAAACCCAAATTGTTCTTTTTACTGGAATGCTTGCTTAAAGAGGTATAATTTTAACGCTCAATTCCACTTTTTGCCACAAGGACATCAATAAACATCCTATTTGGACTTCATGAAGGTCCGATAAAGTCGCTGACCTCAGATGGTGGCTATCGACTTTTTGTTTTTAGGAACATACCGCCTAGCATAAACCTTGACGCTTACTTAATTCCAAAAATCAAAACAATGTCCCATGTTTTTAGCCACCGTGACCTTTTGCAGGTCAAATCAGGTGACTGACCTGAAATGAAATCAGTGACCTGATTAGCACTTGGTATTCGGGTTATTACGTACAGGCCCTCCTATCCACCCTGCGAATTTGATGCCTCTAGTTTTCTTAGCTTTTGAAGTCTCAGGTGGGTTAAATTGATCCCACACCCACACCCGAAAGGGGGTGGGGGATCACCATTGGCATCCCACTCCCGCCCACGCGCGTGACATTCAACCGGCTACCCGGGTGCTTGTTAATGGAAGCACTATGGAGCTAAAAACAGACCTTTCAGCACGAACCACGCGCGTACACCAATTAACGCGCGCTGGCCACTTGGCACTGCAGCCACGAACCATCTCGTGCGCGCACGGGTCGGACATAATTTTCAGCCACGTTCCGCGTACCGTTTCACCCGCAAGTGCGCTGACAGAAGAAGACGACAGACAGACAGCCATGGAGGCTCCAACACAGGATACATATGTGTGGAGGGCCGTCCGTGAACCAAATTACATAGTATCATGTCCTTTTTCGACCCTATCCCGCTGTTATGCATTGACCTCGTTTCGTGAATGCCCCATCTTTGGTTATGCTGTGCTAGCAGAAGTGAACTCCCAAAGACATAGCTTGCGTTTGGCCCCTAATTCAGCAAGAGGCGCGAGACAAAAATGGAAGTGTTGCTTGACAGCACCCGCATTGTCTGCTGTATTTATCGTTATCTTAACAAAATTTTTAATCACAGTTTAGGCAACATTATGCTATCCGACTTGGCATACCTACGTTTCGGCAAGCACCTCGGTTACGTTCACTTGGCTCCTCCACCATAGGTGCATAGCGTGATGTATGAATGATCGCTGACTTACTACACCGTTACCTGCGGGCCCAAGATATTTGGAAGAAGAAATGTCTCAGTTAAAATCTTCTTGAAAAAGCCGAGCCGTTGTTTTGAGAAAGGCAAACTGCATGAATGGCAGTGAAATAACGCTATCCTTGAAATGTGCGATTTAGCGACGATTTCAGCGCAACTGTTTCCTGTACGACATGCGCAAAGCGTAGCGCTCACGTGTCTGTCGCCCGCGGTGTTTGGTGATTCGTGAGCGTTTGAGTGGTCGTTTGTGGTAGAGCGTTGACACCAAGTCGCTGACACCATTTCACACCATTTCTTGAATAGAAATAGAAATAGACACAAGACACCATTTCTTGAATATGGATTTATTCAGTGTCATATCTTGTGTTGTCGTAGAACTCCTGTCCTCGTGATCAAGCCAGCATCTCGCAAGGCGTCCAGTGGTACGATTCATTGAGTGGCAGGTATTCGCACAGGTAAGTCATCACATTGCTTTGTATGTGATGATGTTTTCAAGCCAACACCAGTGTATTTGATCAGTGTAGGGCTAGAACTATGCTGGCCATGAAACACCACAGACAAAAAAGGGGCACAGATTTTCAGGACATTGGGTGATGGTAAATGTGAATATGCTCCATTGTTCTTGAATCAGGTTCTGCTGAGTATGGATTTTAGGTATGCCCAGGCAAGTAGCCACCAGGCAAGTGAAAAGAGTTGTGTAAACCAAGTGCTTCCAGATGTAATGTGACCATGATATAAGTCAAATATAAGCACATTGATGGAAGCTTTGGCATTGGTTTCCCATCCTGAGCTGCTTTTTGTGATAATTCATTACCACATCAGGCCATGGAGAAAACTTTGATTCTCTGTGTATCATGGTTTTACTTTTCAGATCATCATGCCATTTTTCATCAGGAAGAAGTCAAGTTCAAAAGTCAAGGCAAAGAAAGACAAAAAGAAGGTATGTGCTGTATTGCAATATGTAGGTGTATGCAATTTAAATGTTTTGATGTACAAGTGTATAAAGGGCATGTGATGTTCTACCACACAGGGATGTACATTTCTATTTGGTGGGGGTTCCCTCAACATGGGCTCTCCCCAAGTTTGAAAATAAAGTTGATCAAATCTGGCAAGAATCCTGTTTGTTGGCATAGCTTGGGTGGGGGTGGTGTCACTTTTGACTGCTCAGCCCTGCCAAAAATCATATTGTGAAACTTCTTCCCTGTTACTACATGTTTGTCCACATGCCTTAAAAGATGCATATAGCAGCTCATTGTGTTTATTAAAACATCTGGTCAAAATTATTTGGTCAAACATTGAGCTGGGAGCCAACATGTTGTGATACACATGATAAGCATACAAGTACACCAGGGCACTATATGTTTGCCATTCTGTCTTCATTTCCACTACCTTCTACAGATCCTGGCACTGCGCTGTTTCACGCAGGTAGGGCAAGCATTTGTGTGCCTGCTTTCTTGTGCAAGAGGTTGAGATTGAAATAATCTAATTTTTGCAGTTTGATTCACATTTGTAGCTGTTCTAGGTACTAAGATATAATGCAAAACATGAAAATGGTTGATAAGGGCCAAGTCAATCCGTCATGGATCATGTACATGTGACACATGTCATGTGCATGTTGCATGTTACACCACAAGTTTTTTCAATTGATACCCTATCAGTGCATGCCACTCCCAGGTGTGTCTTAGTCCTACATGCAGAGCTGTGGTACAAAAGGAGTAAACCCCTGGAAAAGAGGAGAATCCATTATCCTAAGTCAAAACATGAAAATGAGTCGCTCCACGCTCTGGGGGCCGAGATGTCGTACAAAAAGCAAACACCATTTACAGCAAAATCCTTCTTGCCTGCTGTGTGAGCGCAACAGGTGGCCGGTGTTACCGCAGATATGGTGTCATCCAATAGCCTGTTCCATTGACACTCCCGAATCGCATCGTACCCCTCATGTGCGGAGATATGGTGCAAAAATGAGAATGGTCGCAAACTAAAAAAAACCATCTTGTCAGCTCGTTTCTTTGCGTAGCATAACTCAAACATGCCGACCATAATACAAAATTAAGGACTTAAGGTAATTGTGGAGTCTTTTCCATCAGTACCCATCAGGCATGGGGATGAAGCCAGGCTTCTGGCTTTGTAACCCAATCCAAGGTGGAGACAATAACATGAAGCTCAAGTCGGAGCCTCAGCTGGTAGCTCTCAAGCTCTTAACTGCAAAGCTGAAGCTGAAACTGATGACGGTATATTTTATAAATACGAAGCCAAATCCGAAGTCAGTCACATCAAATATTGTACACGCGAACACGGAGCCGATGCCAGGGGCGTCGTGCATAAGAAGTGCAAAGCCAAGGCAAAATGATCATAAGTTTACAATCAGAATGCCGAAGGCGACACCGAACCTGGTGGGGCGGGGGGGGGGGGGCGGCGGTATTTTGCGCCGCCGAAACCGTTTTGTTATGTGCTAAAACTATAGTACCAGCAAAAATCACAAGGGTTTTGTGGAATAATTGAGGCAAAGTGTCACACTTGGACGGAAATTGTTGTGGACCGCTCGTGATCGTTTTCCGTGCTAGTGTTTGCATAATGGACATTTAGATTACCCGGCCTTCGTACGGTGTTGATTGGTCCCAAGAATGGCCACGTGGTTTTGGCTTCCAGCCATGTCCGCATCGCAGCCTTGGAAAGTTGTGCGGTACTTGGGGGTAAATGAACAGACAGACTGTCGTATGCCGCAAATGTAGTGAATAAGTCAGCATTGCAAAGCCGGAGCATTTATATCCGCATGGGGCCAAAGTTGTAGCATCCAAAACATGTTCAATGTTGATGCCGAAGCCGAAGCCAGCTGCTAAAAATGTCGGAAGCCGAAGCTGAGGCTGAAGCAAACCGCTTGAACTGGCACGAACCCGAAAACAGCCGGGGGAATTGGTTCAAAGTTTAAGCCAAATCCGAAGCCTTAAGAGGGCATTTACGACTTCGTGCAACTGAAGCAAAAGCCAGAGCCGTTTTCGCCCCACGCCTCGTAACCATGCAAAGGGCATCACTTGGATCAGATCGCGTCTGCTTTTCAGATGATTGCAGCGAGGTATATGTTGTGCAGGCATTAAACCCATGCTTTCTCGAAGTTTAGCATCGTGCTGTATGATTTTTTTCAGAATTTTTTTGCTATTTGTCTGCATTCTTCTATATCTTGAAAGCTTTCACTGTGTTCCTTCGCAAAAAAATGGACAAATACAAACGGCCATCTGCAGTCCAGCAATTATGTATTGACTTCTTGTCATGACATGCTCTCCGGACAAAACGTAGGTATGAAGCCGGGTGCCATTTAAGAAAAAGATACTAACCTGTAAGTATGCTGAGCCTGTGCCCTCATTCTATAGCCGTCAATTGCCAAGTTTTGCCTTCCAGCAGCGACCAGTAGAGGCGCCAGCGGCCAAGCGTGCCCGGCTGGTGGAGGAAGAGGATGAAGAGATCGACAGTGATGAGCTGGACGATGAGCCTGTGGCGGCTGAGGAGCCGGAGCTGTCGGAGACCGAGTTGGAGACTGCTCAGGAGAAGCGTCTCCGCCTGGCCAAGCTCTACCTGGAGGAAATCGAGAGACAAGGTAGGTAGTCAGCTTTAAATTGACATAAGAGGGCTAAAGCCGAGGTGTTGAATGCTGATGGATGGCACACAGCTTGGTGTTTGTGCCGTTGTGGGCTGCATCAAAGGCAGCTCAGGTGTAATGTGAATAGGTGCAATGTCTTTGATGTTGCCTTATTGTTCTGTCGTTGGTGTTGCCGGAAAAGCACACTAATTTTCATTCGTGTGAATAATGTAAGGCAAAATCTGGCAGCTGGATGCCGTAAAATGCCATTGTTTAAAGACTTATTGAAGCAAGGCGTGTTTAACATGTCAGGTCATGCATTCCATCGCTTGTTTGAGTTGTTATGACATATGCTGGTACCTGAGAATATTTTTAGAAGACTTGAGTCGTTATAACATAATCGGGGCAGCCCGCACCTCATTGACAGGCAGCGACGGTACTGTTGACCAGTAACGCTACTTTGCCTCACTCGTGACGGGGAGGGGGGGGGGAGAGGCCACACGGGTCGCGGTGTACCGTCTCACCGCCGGGCTCCGGCCGTCTGACCGTCCAGAGCGCGGCCGGGCCGAGTCGGAGGCGGCGGAGCGGGCCGGCCGCTCGGTGTCGGAGCGGCTGCGGCAGGACGTGCTGGAGCGGGCCGGCCGGCTGCAGCGGCCGCTGGCCGACGCCGTGCGCCGCCCAGAGCCGGCCGAGGTGCGCCGGCTGCGCTGCCGCCAGCTGCAGCTGCCCGTCACCTGCGCCCTGCTCTCGCCCGACGACCGTCACCTCTACACCGGCTCCAAGGACTGCGCCCTCATCAAGTGTACGTACGCCGTTCGCCGTACTTACCGTACCGTACGTCGCCGTATTGTACGTACGCCGCGGCCGGAGCCCGTGGCGGAGGCAGCGCCAGGGCTGGAGGCGGTGCGGCCTACACATGTCGCGCCAGCTGACCACAGTGCTGAACAAAAGAGAGAGAACAGGAAGATGATGGGAATCCTGAACGAGAGATTTTCTGCTGTTTTCAACACGTTGGGACATGCTTTCATTGGCCCCACCGAGCTGTGACAACAATCAGATATGTATCCGAATATGTTATGTATTGAGTACCAAATGTAACGCGCCGATTCGCGTGTTTTGATAATCCACTGAGGCGAGTAGTCCGTCTTCACAAGGGAGACTGACCGAAATCACGTAATCGCACCCAAGATCAGGAGATCGGATTTCCTTATGCATTGCTGTATAAGACCATCTGTTACATAGCCGAACGATCTGATGTGGTCTCTTTGATATGCTCATGAAATGCTCATGAAAGCATGCTGGGGTGGACAGCCACAGTGCTGAGCTAGATGACACATTGCTTTACCAGGAGGGGCGGGAAATAGCTGTATGGACCTTCGTGAATTTATTGGTAATGATTACATTTATTCGCAGCTGGTTGTGCAAGAATGCCGTCGTTGACGTATTTTGGTTTCGTTCCACATACCGTGGCTGCTTACTGCAAGCCACGAGCAGAACAAACATTTGTTGGAAGTATTATTGTAATCGCATCGTATTCTATCTATTGGTTTGCCTACTGCTAGGAAACTACTGCGTGATACGAGTGAAAATAATGATTGACAATGAGTCGAGCGAAGAATAGTATTACTCTAGCGCTTGGTCACCACACTTCACTCCAAGGGTGATTGTGTGGCGTGTAGTCATCATACGAAACATTCCTTATTGGAGTTTGGTAATTTATCGTACTCTGTAGCGAAAAATTGCGCTAGCGTTGCTAATGGCAGCAAGCGGCGGTAACTTCAGGTAGGCAGTCAGCAGGTGTTAGATTATATGCTAGCTTGGCTGCGTAGCTTTGCGTATGTACGCTTTGCATTCGCTGGTGTAAATGTTGTTCTCGCTTAAATCATGGGTGAAAATTGATCCTCCGTGCCGAATATGTATATGAGTGGCTAACATCTGCTCGTTGGCAGGGTGTTTGGAGACGTGCCGTCGCGTCCAGGTGGTGCCGGGAGGTCGGAAGGGCGAGTGGCTAACGTCTGCTCGTTGGCAGAGTGTGTGGAGACGTGCCGTCGCGTCCCGGTGGTGCCGGGAGGATACCAGTGGCTAACGTCTGCTCGTTGGCAGGGTGTTTGGAGACGTGCCGTCGCGTCCAGGTGGTGCCGGGAGGTCGGAAGGGCACGGAGGACAAGCACCAGGGCCACACCACGCACATCATGTCCATGGCCATATCGTCCGACAACAAATACCTGGTATGAGCTCACGCCAGTCTTGGCTGTTCGGAGCGGAAAATATAGAGCTGTGTTGGGTGTCAGTGATAATGCATGCTCGCTTGTTCCATACATGTCGGGCAGTAACGGATGGTGTGTGATCCGGCAGAGGGAATGTCTTGGTTCAGCTGTGCGGTGACGGTGCTGTGCTGTTCAGCTGTGGGGCGACAGCTGCTGTATGGTTCAGCTGTGGGGTGACAGTTGCTGTGCTGTTCAGCTGTGGTGTGACAGCTGCTGTATGGTTCAGCTGTGGGGCGACAGGTGCTGTTTGGTTCAGCTGCAGTGTGACAGGTGCTGTGTGGTTCAGCTGTGGTGCGACAGGTGCTGTATGGTTCAGCTGTGGGGCGACAGGTGCTGTTTGGTTCAGCTGCGGTGTGACAGGTGCTGTGTGGTTCAGCTGTAGTGTGGCAGGTGCTGTTTGGTTCAGGTGTGGGGTGACCAGCGCTGTGTGGTCCAGCTGTGGCGTGACGGATGCTATGTAGTTTAGCTGTGACGTGACGTACGCCGTGTATCGCCAGGTGAGTGGCGACATGAGCCACCTGATCCAGCTGTGGGAACCGGCCACGCTGAGCCGGCTGCACGTGTTCCGCGGCCACCGGGGCGCCGTCACCGGGCTGGCCTTCCAGCGGGGCACGCACCAGCTGTTCAGCGCCTCGGCCGACCGCATGGTCAAGGTCTGGAGCGTGCACGACCGCTCCTACATCGAGTCGCTGTGAGTTCAGACGGCAATGCGCCGCACGCGAGAGAGGTGATGTGGTCACGGGGTTTTCGCCAACCGACCGGTAATGATTAGACAGTGCTAATATCTGTGTCTCCGTTCTCCTAGTTTTTCTCCGAAGAATAAGGCTATTACTACTGTCTTATCTATGTGAATAATGTCCTTGCGAATGCACTGAACAGGTTACGACTAGTAACGATGTGACTGGGCGTGCCAATGGCGGGGCTGCGTGCTGCCTGGGCGGCGTGGCGGCGCGGACGGGCCGCCGTCCGCGCCTCTGTCGGTGCGACGGTGACAGGCTGTGGCTCGCGCCGCAGGTTCGGCCACCAGGACGGCGTCACGGCCGTGGACGCGCTGAGCAGGGAGCGCGCCGTCACCGCCGGCGGCCGCGACAACACGGTGCGCGTCTGGAAGCTGGCCGAGGAGTCGCAGCTGGTGTTCACCGGCCACCGCGACAGCATCGACTGCATCAAGCTCATCAACGAGGAGCACTTTGTGACGGGCGGCCAGGACGGGTAGGTGGAGCTGCAGCCGACGGGAGCGGCGCGTAGGTCATCGCGGCACTCCGGGGCGTTCCGGAGTGCCGCGATGTGATCCACGGCGGCTCTTATGGACGCCGGGGATTCTTCGATGGGCCTGCGTGGTGTTCACTCGTGCTGCCGTTCCCGAAGACGCCAAATATGCATTTGGCGTCAGCTGTGGTGTCGTGCGTTCCGCGCGAGATGTTTTGAAGTTATATTTTCTTTTACGGGTTTTTGGATTGTCACTTGTTTTCTCTTTTGTCTTAGAATGCTCGTAGCATTCGTTTGAACTTGGGAACTGGCGTTTGTGACACATGGCCCCGCCCTGCCAGCCTGAGGTGTCCAGCCGACACTGCCCACATGACTCGGCCCGTCCGTCTGCCGCTGTCCTGTGTGGTGACCGTGGGCGCCTCTCCGCAGTATGGTCTGCCTGTGGAGCGTCGCGAAAAAGAAGCCGCTGTGCTCGGTGCCGCGAGCGCACGGCCTGGACCCGGACAGCCGGCAGCCGCGCTGGGTGTCGGCCGTCGGTGCCCTCGTCAACTCTGACCTGGTGGCGTCCGGCTCGTGGGACGGCCAGGTGCGGCTGTGGCGGTGTGCGGCCGGCTTCGGCTCGCTGGCGCCGCTCATGGCACTGCCGGCCGCCGGCTTCGTCAACGCGCTGGTGTTCAGCGCCTCCGGCGACCGGCTGCTGGTGGGCTGCGGCCAGGAGCACCGGCTCGGCCGCTGGTGGCGGCTGCGCGACGCCGCTAACCAGGTGCTGCTGCTGCCGCTGACGGCCGGCGCCGGCTCCGAGGCCGCGTGACCGGCGGCCGGGCGCTCTGCCAGCCGGCCCCGGCACCCGCTCGTGTCTGTGATGTAGTGTCCTCAGTGCCCCGGGAACATGGACTGTCGCCGGTCTGGGGCGACGGCCCAACTGACTGGGATGTGGTCGCCGGCGGAGACGTGGTGTTGGACGGATGTTGCGCTCAGCAATCGCGACAATACACGACTTGTGCGAAATGAGTATGATGCGGTGTGCCGGCACGCGCTGCGCTGCAGCACTGTGGGGACCGGTGGTGGTGGGCGTTCTGCATATGCACTGCAAACTGCATATTGCACAGGTGTCGTGACATGACTTGGCATTTAGTAGTTAGGTCGGTTCACAAAGGAATGCCTAAAAACACGTGTTGAAAGCGGGTGACACCACAAAAAGTCGCATGTAGTTTGACGCATACCCGAGGGTCCTGACATTGTAATCCAAGACAACCTGCTCGTCGGAATGTAGATTATTCGGAAGGTACAAATGCCTGCTTGGATGAATTTAAGCTACCAGATGTACAAGAAATTCGCAATCTATAAACCACTGCTGTGTCGCGTACAAAGATGGCAAAAATGTTGCATGCTAGGCCAGGAAACATCCACCAAAATTCCTCGTGCTCTTGTTTTCTAAAAGGACACCCATGGCAACCAGACAAGAACCGGGAGAATGAGGCATATCCATGGTATATCCAAGATATTTCCGAAGGGTATGACTTAGCAAAGTATGACGCGGGCATTGTTCGGATCATAGTCTGCGATGGAAGTTCACCGCGCCCAACTCGCGTAAAAAGAACGCCCGCGTGAACATAGCAGTAAGTGCAGACGTCAGATTTCGGCCGAGGGCGCCGTAACAGTGTTTCAAGACTTTAATGAAGCACAAACAAATCAAAACGTCGCAACTGGGAGAGAAAAAGACAACATTGACTTTAAATCCTTACGCAACAAAATAGTCCTCTCAACGGCAGCAGTGACCTTAATATATACATAGAACGGCTTGTTCATGAAAGCAGTAGCACCAAGGCACTACTTGGATTTTCGTCGCCTGCCTCTTGTGCGTCAATCCCGGTAGCGCTTTCCCTACAAATCTGTTTTTTTTTCCGGTTGAAGGTTGGGGAAAACTTTACTCACGGTGCGGTAAATGTGGTATCACTTGTCGACCAGAATCGCTGCCATTTATGCGCGCGAGAATCCATCCGCGCGTAATTTGGGTTTGTGCCTTGGGGCTTGTGTCTGAGTGGCGCCTTCGAGGCGATTATTCAGTGGCGATAATTCTTAAGCCGACATATTTCACCCATGTGCCCAAAGACTCAAAGTGTGACCAGGTGCAGGCATTGGTAGGTGAGGATGGAAACTTCGACTGTTACGCATATTGAGTCTATATCTTTTTGAGTGTGCACGCACCAGCAACCAACAGCTGGAATTAGGCGTTATGATTGTGTTGTAATGTAACCATGCAAGTCTAGCATAGCTTGGGCCGGTTTGTAGAATTGGGCTTAGGATGACATTGTTTTTATTTTATTTGCTGCCTGCTAACCACGTTGCATTCAATATTATTAACTTATTAACCAGACAGTTATAACCCAGCCTCAGTTTTCAAAATCCATGTGCTGCTCCTGACACCTCCCCATCATTGCATGCAGAAATGGTGGCACACATGCGCTATGATAAGGTAAGGCTAGATTTGGCTTAGTGCTTGGTTGATGTTGCTTGAAAAATGTTTTTTGTAGTATTTTTGCCTGAAAGTATCATTACAATTTCAAAATTCCTTGAAAGATTGTCTTTATGGGCTGAAACTGGCAGCAACCATTCACTACCATTGTGCCTGGAGTGGCAGTATTTACTGTGGGGAAAATGATGATATAATCCTGTTAGTTTTTTATTACCTTTGATGTTGTGTTGTTTATACTCATTTTCTTTTTACGTAGGTCTGTTTTCAATAGCTGCAGAAAATACAATTATGTTAGGCACTGAGCTGTGTATATAAACATTGATGTTCCTACCACATTCAGTTGGATGATATGAGCTATTTGTGGAATAAAGTAAGTGGCAAAGTAGTTGTATTGGCATGTGTACCATGCCAGTCTGCAGCTTTCCACATCACTGCAATCTTTTGCAAATACTGTGATGCAGGTCACCATGTTCACCTTTGAGCCTAAAACATTTGCATTGCTTAGCAGTTACAATGAAGTCACATCATATTTGAAGGCAATACATACATCTTGGATGATTAGGCTGCATCAAATTGGGCTAGGAAGGCTTACAAAACAAGTTAAAACAGGTTGAAAACATGGATCAGTTCTGCAGTACATTGTAATAGTGGCAGACTGAAGGATAGTAACCTGCCTAGCAATAATGCTGGCTTCATGTGTTCTTCAAGTTGCATGGCATGTGGTTCTATATCATGGCATATTACACAATTACATGGAAAACAATTGATTAGCATTGTCATGTGTATAGTTGAAGCACACAGTGTGGAAGGCAAATATTATTATAATGTAGTAACTTCAACAGTTTTTGAGGAAACCATATTTGTTTGTAAAAATGCATTGTAAGCATGACAAGCAGCAGCCATCATTGTTATTTCACGAAGTGTTAATCAAATGTGACAGGAAGCTTATTTGCTGCATAAAGTCTGCACAATTTGCTGTAGGCCTTCCAGACCTCATTGAACTATAAAAAGCTTATTTTACCTTTCCAACTTGCTAAGTTTTGTAGCATTTTGCCCAAACCTATGATAGATGCAAGAACAACCCAGACTTAGTTTAAATGCTACTTGTCAGCAAATATTAGTTGGTCACATTCTGACACTGCTGTTCCTATCATATTGTCTATGTTATTCTATATTCCTTTTGGGGCTCTAAATCCCTGGTGGTCAGGTTTTGCAAACATTTCACCTTGAATACAGTGTGCTTGAATGACCTCTATATGAAGTTATACTTGCATTGTACCATGGCCACACTTGACACTTCCAGTCATTAGCAGTGCAGCCATTCACACATGTTAGGGAATCATGGGAGGGATGGCTGAATATGCAATGTACAAGATTCCTGTGTAGGCCTTACAGCCACAAGCAAGTCAACCTATTAGGTATGCTAGTTTTTCCACTCATCACCTGCTCTAATTGCTTTGCTTCATGTTTATGTATGAGGACTGCACATTTCTTAGCTGAACTATGTATGCTCGCTTGTGTTGAGAGAGAGTCTCGTCCGTTTCAGAGATGATCTCCCCGGACGAGATGGAGTTTCTGGCGGAGGGCGGCACGCTCAATATCATCCCGAACTTCCAGCAGGACCGACTGTACCTGATCGGCGGGGACGTGGGCCCTTTCCGGCCGGCGCTGCCCGTCACCGTGCCCGTCTGGCTGGCCGTCAACCTGCGACAGCGCAGCAAGTGTCGCATCGTGCCGCCCGACTGGATGGACGTGGCTCGCCTGCAGGTGGGCATGCTCCGGACCCGACCCGACCCGACCCGACGCGACTCGACTCGACTCGACTCGACTCGACTCGACTCGACTCGACTCGACTCGACTCGACTCGACTCGACCTGACCTGACCTGACCTGACCTGACCTGACCTGAACCCGTCTTCGTCCTCGTCCTCGTCCCCGTCTCCGACTTCGACTCCGACCCCGACTCCGTCTCTATCTCTGTCTCTGTCTCCGTCCTCGTCGTCGTCCTCGTCCTCGTCCTCGTCCTCGTCCTCGTCCTCGTCCCCGTCCCCGTCCCCGTCCCCGTCCCCGTCCCCGTGCCGATTCACCGAGCACGGGGTGACGCCAGTGGTGCGTGTTCCTCCGGTAGAGTGGTGATGTTGGCAGCACAACCTGGCGCCTGTGACGGCGTTCCTTTCTTACGTCAGTTACGTTCATGACGTAGGTATGCGTAACGTCGGCGGCCAGTGCCTCTCTGTTATGGCGGTCAGGTCAACTGCTCAGCGTCATGGTCCTCTGGTTATGACCCTGGATCTCCTAGCCAGGCTCGGCCTCAGTCCTTACGTTTGAGCTGCAGTTCGTGTCGCAGTGCTGCTCTGGCACCCATGCTGATGGTCCATTTTACGATGGAATGAAGTTTTCACTCATGTGTTGGTTGGTGTAGCCCTCCAGTGTTGACTGATCCCGTCACCACTGGCCGGTTCTCAGTCGTGACACCAGTCCCCTGGTGGTGATGCTCATGATCCCTCCAGTGATGGCTGATCCAGCCACCTTTGACCGGTCCTCAGTCGTGACACCAGTCCCCTGGTGGTGACGCTCGTTATCCCTCCAGTGGTGACTGATTCCGTCACCACTGGCCGGTTCTCAGTCGTGACACCAGTCCCCTGGTGGTGACGCTCATGATCCCTCCAGTGATGGCTGATCCAGTCACCTTTGACCGGTCCTCAGTCGTGACACCAGTCCCCTGGTGGTGACGCTCGTTATCCCTCCAGTGGTGACTGATTCCGTCACCACTGGCCGGTTCTCAGTCGTGACACCAGTCCCCTGGTGGTGACGCTCATGATCCCTCCAGTGATGGCTGATCCAGCCACCTTTGACCGGTCCTCAGTCGTGACACCAGTCCCCTGGTGGTGACGCTCGTTATCCCTCCAGTGGTGACTGATACCGTCACCACTGGCCGGTTCTCAGTCGTGACACCACTCTCTTGGTGGCGACGCTCGTTATCCCTCCAGTGGTGACTGATTCCGTCACCACTGACCAGTCCTCAGTCGTGACACCAGTCCCCTGGTGATGACGCTCGTCATCCCTCCAGTGGTGACGTTCGTTACCCCTGCGGCAACCTTCGTCGTGCTGCCGACAGGAGAAAAAGGAGGAGGAGAAGAACTCCGCACATTTCACGCCCATGCCCAGCGATCACTACATGGAGGTAACGCAGCTGATGATTGACGTGGCGCCTGGAGACCTGCCGCGGGCCGATGAGATACGCACCATCATCAAGGTATGCCCCGCCGCCGACACTGTAGTCAGAGACTCGGAACGCGCGCGACGCTGGCCTGCATTGGGACGGAATTATGCTGAGGTCATGGTGGGAGGGGAGGAGGGGAGGGCTTGTCGCCGCGGCGCGCGCCACATGCAGAGTGTTGTCACGGGCCGTGCCGCCGCTCACATGCGGCTTGAAGGCAGGTAGCCCTTCACCCATCGCGGTATGACTCGGCCCCGAACGGGTGGGTTCCCAGGGAATCTCGCGCGTCGACCTCGCGCCCCGATGTGCGCGACCCTTAACGTTGCTGGCGGCGCGAGTGCGTGTGTCTGAGCCCCACCTAAACAGCGTGGTTTGGCGCGTGGAACATGCGCTCCCCGGGTCACTCTCGACGTGAGGTGATGCGAATGACCTGAGTTGCAGGTTTTATCCGGTTTGCTTTTGGCTCCGACACATGGAAAGCAATGCATCCCTGCGGTTCACGTAGCGCTGCCTTTCGATTCCCTGAGCTTTCAACACGACAGCTAAGGGCTTTTTCTCTGCGTTTAGTGCCGCACGGTCTTTTGTGCGATCTCATGGCTCGCTTTCTCGCGCACCATCGAGTGGAGACCATCGCTAAGGATGGCTTGTTGCGTGAGCACTTTCCCGCGGTCCAGGCGGTCCGAACTAGGTTTAGTAATGACTTTTGTCATAGCCTTTTAGCCAACAGCACTGAGTATTTCAGCGTGTCGTTCGATGTGATGGCATGGCCGCTTGTCGTCGGGGTCCTCCCCCTCCCTTTGTCAGGGAAGTGCGGAGCCTTCAGTAGGGCTCAAACCCAGTTGGTTGTGTCTTGAAGGGGCCGTGCCTGTCACGGGTACACGGGTACGGCAAGCCAGGTAATGTGGTGAGCACTGAACGTCGCCATGCTATTACGTGCTGAGGCAGCTGATGATGATCTGTAGCGAGGGTTATTCCTCAATAGGTCTGCATATGCTGCTGGTTATTTGCATGCCTTGTATCGGGCCAGCTGCACAAAGCTTTGATCAAAAGATGCAGTTTGGCTTGCCTGCCAGAAACCTTTAGATGGCCGTATATCTAGCACGTTGATTGGCCATCGTGGCTCTAAGTGGGAAGGCGCGCTCTGTGACCATGGCTTGAGCAGTGGATGGCTGCGAGACGCACCTGCCCGGCTGCTGTCCCCAGGACATCTGGGACATCCGCGTGGCCAAGCTGCGCTCCTCGGTGGACGCCTTTCTCAAGTCCAACTCGTCGTACGCCAAGCTGGACCACCTGACGCTGCTGGAGCTGAACACCGTGCGCCCGTTCCTGAACCACTCGCTGGACCAGCTGTACCGGGTCAAGAAGGTCAGTCGGTCGGCGCCTGGGTCGGAGACGCGTGGCTTGTTCCGTGGCGACGTCCCGCGTCCGCAGCTGTCACGGCCACTGAGCGCTGCCGCGCAGCAGCTGCAGCGGCTCACTTCGAGGGGCATTTACAGCGCTCAGAGGGTCTCTCTGCCGACAACGTCGAATCCCATTTAGCCGAACTCATCTGCTGCTGTATGCTGAAACTTGACTGCAGCTAGGGTGGCCAGGTGCTCTTGGTTTCCGACGAACACCGTGCTGCTGGACTTGGCGTCACTTATCAATGTTGTGTTCATCGCTGGCACCTCATGCCATCGGTTTCCATTTCCTGTGTGCGCTATAGTTGTTTACGTTTAACGAAATCTAACTTCAGGTGGCTAAAGCCTCATTTCAGTATGCCATTACAGGTTTTTCGACCGGCGACGGCGGCGACGATTCAGTATTAGCTCCTTTTCCGATCCAACCTCTTACGTCCCTAGTAGGGAGCGCAATGAGGCTTTGTGTACGGTCTTGGAGATGCCACCACAGATGCCATGCGTGATAGATGTGCGATCTGGACCTGATGGTTGCCGATCTCATTAGCATGTACCCACGGTATTGTGAGACGACTGCATGAAGAAAGGGTAGGTATGTCGTCTTCTAATATGTATGTAAACATCTCCCAAGACACACCGCTACTGTTACAAGGTCATCGCTCACACTGCGACTCATCTTCGCCAGGACACGTACCGGAGTTTGACGCAAGACAACAGTCGGCTGGCGTCGTGACGGCCGTGGTCTGGCCGTGGACAGAGGCCCTGCCGCCGCCGTCGTGGCCGCTCTGGCTTTGGATCGTCAGTCGTCGCCTCGGTGAGCCGGTCGTGACCGGCCTGGTCTGGCCGCTGACAGAAACCGAACCGCTGCTGCGGGCGCGGAGCAGGACCGCCGTGAGAGCCGCTGTTAGCTCGGGGTAGGACGGCCGTGAGAGCTGCGGTTAGCTCGGGGCAGGACCGCCGTGGGAGCCGCTGCCGTTAGCTCGGGGCAGGACCGCCGTGAGAGCTGCTGTTAGCTCGGAACAGGACCGCCGTGAGAGCCGCTGCAGACAGGTGCGGAAGTCCGGACGGCGAGCGGCGTCGACCGCAGGGCCGGGGCCAACTCTGGTGGCGGCTCCATCCGTTGCCGTGCAGCACACCACGCCCACGAATGACAGGCCAGACTACGGACGCCAGCGTCTGTGCGCGTTCGAGGCTGGATGGACGTCGCTCGCTACCATCGCGGCGTGGTGCGGCCAGCCGACGCCAGTGACATGGACGGCCCTTCTATCAGACTGTGCTTGTGAGGCTTGTCTTGCGATATCGAGCCTGATAGGCCGCTATACGTGAGGCTGACCTTTGTACGGTGCAGTGCGCGCCAACTGCGGTATCAATTGCGAGTTGCGTGGGTCAGAACCTCTGCAAGCATTTTGAATGGTTTTGCACCTTTGTTTTATAAAAAGCAAGGCTGGTCAAGCATCGCCTGGCGTCCAAAACGTTAGTTTTGAGGCAGTCAGTTACAGTGTACTAACTCGCTGCGACTGACTAGGGGCATGATTCGTAGAAAAGGTGCCACGCGGTTTGTGTTCACGAAAAAACCCACGAGATAAATGGTCGCACCTTGTTACAATTGCCGTGCCTGGTGGTCTCCACGTATGACTTGTTTTTTAGTGGCTCCGTTGCGTCGTTTTGTATTTCTGGGTCTGATTAATGCAACTTGGGCGACTGGTCATAGCTGTGTGGTTATATTTTACCTGTCACGTGATACGAAACGCTAGTTTTGCAAACAACCGACGATAGTGAGGAAAGCCCCTGAACCTCTCCGATCTATGGAATGGACCCTGAATCCCTCTTGTGGTGCCGGACTCGTTGGGCCGGGTAGCCGGACGACTGCCGAGCACAGAGCACAGCCCCGAGTTGGTGCGGTGGGCGGGTTACTGCCGCGCTCGCCGCTACAGCTCAGCGTGTGATCTCAGCTCACGCCCGCCGCTACAGCATAGCGTGTGAGCCCAGCTCACGCCCGCCGCTACAGCTCTACATGTGAGCTCAGCACGCGCCCGCCGCTGCAGCATAGCGTGTGAGCTCAGCACGCGCCCGCCGTTGCAGCTCAGCGTGTGAGCTCAGCATGCGCCCGCCGCTACAGCACAGCGTGTGAGCTCAGCACGCGCTCGCCGCTACAGCAGTGTGCGAGCTAAGCTCGAGCGCGCCCGCGGCGCGCGGAGCTCAGTGGTTGCCGTGCGTCGTGAGACGACCGACACTCGGCCGCGGTGTGAAGCCGGCCGCCATTTCGGCCGCCAGGAGATGCGGCGGCCGCGCCGCGTTCAGGTAGTAGGCCCAGTAGCAGATGTTGAACAGCACGAAGGCGGCTGGGTACACGATCAGCGACGTCTTCTCGAAGACAACGGCCACGTGACCCCAGCGCTTGTCGCGCTCGTCCCCTTGGTCGCGCCCGAGCGGCGTGGAGGAGGACGAGGAGGCGGCGGCGGCGGCGGCGGCGGCGGCCATGTCGTCGGTCTGCGAGTCAACGGAGAAGCTGACCGTTGCCCGGCGGCGCCCGGTGGGCTGGGTGGTGCGTAGAATCGGCCGGTGCTCCGGCAGGTAGGCCCGACTTGGTGCGTCGAAATAGTCGGACGGCGCGGCTTCGGGCTCGTCGTCGGGCGCGCCGAACAGGTCGTCGAACACCTGGCGGTTCTCGACCAGCGCCACCGACACGGGCGCCAGGAAGCCGAGCGCCTCGTGCTTGTATGCCTGCGAATCGATAAAGTGCAACCGGATATCGACCAGGCAGTGGACGACGGCGACGAATACAAATGAGTAGCACACGACCATCCATATGTCAATGGCCTTGATGTAGGACGACGACGGCGAGTGCATCTCGACCATGTTGAAGAGCGCAGCCAGCGTCAGCATAGTGGTGATGGTCATGATGATGCGGCCTTGCGCATACGCCGGCGGAATGAGGAACGTCAACCACGAGATGATGACGAACAGCACCGTAGGTAAGTAGACTTGCAGCACATAGAATTGCAGCTTGCGAGAAAAGATGAAGACCACGCCGGCGCGCGAGTAGTTCCCTGTATTATATTGCATGGTGGTTGCGTTAAGCATCCGTACGCTGAAAGTGAATTGATCGAGTTTGTACTTTTCCTGTAAAACAATGGGCTCATCCGGATCCCAAAGCACTTTTTGATGAGTGTCCTCAAGACGCCAGCTTTCCATGTACATGGGGCAGTACTGAATGTCCATTGGGAAGTTGTCAAAGTTCATCATGCACGATATGGCGAAGATGCCAAACGTCGTGAACTTAACCTCTCCGACATTACTCATGCGAAAGGATGCTGCTCTCATCAGGATTTCTGGTTCATATACGCTTTCGATCCGCGTGATGTAAACGTCGGGAATCCACAACATATCCTTCGCTCGCGATGGCCGATAGCTGGCCGAGTCATTGTTCACGCGTTGAACGTCAGGACAATCATCGCGATATTCTGGAGGTGCCTGCACTCTAGTGTCTTTCCAGAACTCACTAAACGTCATACTTAGGCTTATTGTTTCAGTAACTTCATCAACACCCGTTATCTGCATGACTTCCAAAGATATTTTAATCGGCAGTGAACAGAACTTTTTCTGTTCTTTCTTCGTTGCCGTGGAACACTGAATACCATGCTTGCGCTTCACGGCAGCAAGGTCTATGGTTGGTTCCGTGAGCCGGTTGTAATTGTGGCAAACTGGGAGCATGCGAGCACATCTCAGGTGGTTGAAACTGGACGAATTCCCAGGATTGTTTGGTTGCTTTGTTGAACCCGTTGCATTTAAAAGCATTGATCCACTGGAAGCTGTTTCTGTGGTTGTTAACAGTGTGCCGTCACCAATCTTCAGTAGTAATGCACACGCAAAAGCAACAGACAGCATACATTTTTTCGATCTTCCAGCTAGTTTAAAATGCATTGTGTTGTCTTGCCTGGTGTCTTGAACGTCGCGCAAGTTTCAAGTCGTCCATCACGATATTTCATACGGTCCTAGCAGCCTCATGACATCAGGTAACGAAAACGCCGTAATCGAATAAATCGGTGAGCTTTGAATGCCGTGCCGAAAACCCTTTGCTTAACAAAGTGAAGCCCATTATAGCAAATGAGCAGTTCACTGTCCGGAAGTTGTTGTCAAGTTGGCGGCCGTTGAGCGAAAAAAAGATTGGTCAAGCACGTGACATTCAGTAGGCATTCATCGGCTTCCGGCCGGATTCCGGATTTCCCGAAGCATTCACGGTAAACCAGAGGTATCGTACGCCAGCATCTGCCAGTCTCGCTTACGTGTAATTGATTGGCCCGTGCTTTAAATATAAACGTCAGAATTCAGGCGTCATGATGCCGTTACGGGACAAATTTTGTCGAGTCATCTTTTGAGTCTGCCGAATTTCGAACCATACCTGCATGGCAAACAGCGAGCGCCTAAAGCGAATCGAACTCACCCATCCACGCCACGGGTGGGTGAATCAGAAAGCAAGCACTTTGACCAACTGAGCTATCGGGCATCCACTCATTGCGTGGATTTCCACCTAGAGCTATCAGATGACACATAAACGTCGACGCCGTAACTGTGGTAGGACTAATGAATGAACTGGCGTGTGTTCAAAAGATTTGGTTACTGCTTCTGGGTGCGTGAAGTGTTCCGCAAATTTCATTCTTTCGGTGCTAGTAATAGCAAATTCTGCTAACTTGACAAGGAACAATGACTATAAACCATGTTTTGAACATGTGGCCACTTTCGGGTGGTAAAAAACCAATGCTTCAACCTGATCCAACTCGTTAATAAAATAGTTCACGCTGTAACGTAGCCCAAGCCCTAAGAATTCCGTGACCTATTCGTAGCTGCCAGAATTTGGCTGCTCTCGGATGGTAAGAGAACTAATGCTTCAACCTCACCCAACTCGTTAAAAAAGATAGTTCGCGCTGTGGCGTAGCTCAAGTGCTAAGAATTCGGTGACCTGTTCTTAGCTGCCAGGATCAATGCACTTGAGTCGACCGAGAGCGACGTTTCAAACCCATCCATCAAAGCATTTTCCCAGATCGGATCTGGACCTTTCGAACGGATGGATTTCTGGGATCAGAACTCACGCCGAACGGTGCTTGTTGTATGAGCTCTGACTCTACCATCCGATCGTGCAATATGGCGGATTTTGTTGGCGAAAGTTGAACGTCCGGCAATGTTCAACACAGTCCGTCCTGCGCTCTGACGTCACTTGACCTCTAGGGCGACCGCCGCCACGGGCCGCAGGCCAAATCTTTCGAAATGAGATAGCGAGTGCCTATAGAGTGATTCGATCTCACCCAGCCACGGGTGGGTGAATCAGAAGGCAGGCGCTTTTACCAAGTGAGCTATCAGACATTTATTGAGGACGCGAACTCCCACCGAGGGCTATCAAACGACAGGCAAACATCAGAGCCGTTGGCCGGTGGCCTTCTGGCCGGCCGTTTGATGGCTCTGACAAGGCATTTTATTGAAACGCCGGAGTCCGTTCTTCCATCACAATGCTAATGCTAGCGGGGTGTCGAAATTCGTGCCTCTATATTCGGCGCCTGGCAAGGAACCGGCGAGTGTGAGCCGTGCTACTCACACTCGCCGGCCGTCCTGGCAAGGAACCGGAGAGTGTGAGCCGTGCTACTCACACTCGCCGGTCGTCCTGGCAAGGAACCGGCGAGTGTGAGCCGTGCTACTCACACTCGCCGGTCGTCCTGGCAAGGAACCGGCGAGTGTGAGCCGTGCTACTCACACTCGCTGGCCGTCCTGGCAAGGAACCGGCGAGTGTGAGCCGTACTACTCACACTCGGCGGCCGTCGTGGCAAGGAACCGGCGAGTGTGAGCTGTGCTACTCACACTCGGCGGCCGTCCTGGCAAGGAACCGGCGAGTGTGAGCTGTGCTACTCACACTCGGCGGCCGTCCTGGCAAGGAACCGGCGAGTGTGAGCCGTGCTACTCACACTCGCCGGTCGTCCTGGCAAGGAACCAGCGAGTGTGAGCCGTGCTACTCACACTCGCTGGCCGCCCTGACAAGGAACTTTGTCATGAAGAAGGAACGTAAAACGGACGTAGTACATAAAATCGTTGTAGACTGGAGCTGCTGTCAGCTTATTTTAGCGACAAAATCTCAGTTTTTACGTCAGCAAGTGGCCTTTTGGTCGGCTTTTTTATTTGACCCTCACAAGGCTTTTTGTTGAAAACCCTTGGTGCACTCTGTCATTATAGCACATTTTGGCGGCGTGTTTGCACTTGCACAACTGTTTTTAATCGACCAGCGAAAGCAAAACTTGCGGGTTTTGATACTACCAGTGCATGGTTGTCAAACGGCCCCCATACATGTGCAGTAGGTTTGTGGTGTCCCCTTTGTAAGCCATTCAATATATGCCTCATGGGATATCTTTTTAAATGGTGACTAAACGCTCCGCCTTGTCTGAAAACAAAAACACGTCGTTTCGCTCACTCATCGGTCGACTGGCTTATTTTTATTCCTGTTCCATTCTCCTACACGCAAACTTGGAGTATTTTGCGACATTACCGCACGCAAAATTAACGCGCACTCGGGCGGGAAGGTAAATTTGACTCCCCCCCCCCCAACGGTTTTTCCGGAATGTTTTCCCAACAGCGCGGTGAAGCGGCGCCAAAGTATGCATAGCTGCAGACAATGGGTTAGCGGATCGTTTGGCACCAACAATTTAAATGTACCTTGTAAGATACAGCAGGTCAAAGTGAAGCGAAGACAAATTCTAGGAAATGGTTCAATTTGACACAACAACTGAGCGTTAGACGAAGCCATACGCCTCTGAGATAGTTTCTTAGGCGAAAAACCCTTGGATTAAAAAATTAAACTGACCTAGGGTCAAGTATGAGGGTCGGACCAAGGTCAAAACCAGCCCGTGTTTGAACTAGAGTTTGCTGCATGAGGCAATTTTTGGCGCTCAATTGAAATCTAGCAATAGCAGCAACCGCGTCATACATCTTTCATGGACCTGTTAAAGGTCTGAGTATGTCACTGACCTAAAATGGCCCAGGTCCACATTTGGTTGTGAAAAACATGCTGCCTAGCGTAATCCCTGACGTTTATCCAAATGGAAAAATCAAAGGAGTCTTGTATCATTTTGGTCCTCATGATCTTCGAAGGGTTAAACAATGTTACTGACCTTAAATGAGCACCAGGACCTTTTGCTTAGAGAAAGCACTGAAGTTCACGGTGGTGGCATGACAAGGTTTGGGACACTTTGAGCACCAATCCGGATTTGAAGCTTTTTGACAATATTTGACTCGAAGGTCATGACTTAAGAATCTTAGATTTTGACACAAGTGATTTAATGTACAAACACATCCTGTAAATTTGGTGTATCTAACTCCCTTAGCGCCTGAGACCCCAGTGGTTCAAATTAACCCCCCGTCCAAGCGCAGGGTATTCAGCCTATTTTAAGTCAAGCCTGAGTGAGCCTGTGTGGGTACCGCTTTGGAACGCCCATTTCGGTATGGTTGGTAGAATTTCATTGGCCACCACATAAGCTTATCTATCCTTTGGATCCACAGAAGGTCTTATCCAGGGACAGAGGCGGATAAAGGGAGAGAAAGGCTCTGAAAGGTATTAGGATCATTGAAGCGCTAAGTGCATACCTAATTAAATGAACGGAATATTACACCAGAAGGGAATCAGGTCAATAAAAGGCAGCCATTGACTGAAGGTACGGAATTGGCGAGACAAAAAACTGCTGTAAATGCTTACATAAGGTTTTAACTTTTGTCTAGCATTTCACTTCAGTTTCTGTGAATCGATGCTTATTTTCTCAGTAAGCGGGGGATTTTTGGCTGAGCAGCAAACTTCTAACGGAATATTTACTGCGATTGAGGTCGATCAGATGATGGAGGAGCTGAAAGACGAGATACATATCAGCACGGCTACAACAGATGGCTCTTCATCTTTTATCTCTCACCTTTGTCGCTGGACCGGACAGCCGAATTTTTTGGAAGGGGTTTTTACATGGCTGAAAGAGTCGCCAACTAAGAAAGCCACACGGTCTCTTGCCAGAGGTCCACAAAGCAGTGAAAGGCCTGGACACTTCTGCTAGTCCACGACTCGAAGCAGTGAGTCGGATGTATACAGTCCATGCGTTTCTGCAATGGCTTGTCCTAAAGATCGTGCGGCAGTGCCCAAGTCTTTAAAAAAAAAAATAATTCACAGCCGGCGGTGCCGCACCGTACAAAAAAAAAAAACAGTACACTCGATGCATGCGACCATGAGGCTGGCTTTGGGTTGCCCTGACATTGACATTAGCTGTAAATTTTTCCGTCGTCACATGGTGACGGACCTATGAGGCATCGGGGGCACAGCCTAAGCGTGCCACAGCGCAAGAGAGGCGTGGACGTACCCATCACAGCCAAATGCTGATGGCGGAAGGCACGTGCAAACATTTATCGGGAAATTGGTGGGCAGTATCATGTCGACCTATGTACCTGGGCAGGAAGCGACGCGCGTCCCAGGCCACCCCACTGAGTACTTATCATGATCCATCACGGTGAAGTGCACTCAGAACTTCCACACGCT